AAGTCACGTAAGTGCTTTAATCGTAAGCACTCCCTACTCACGGACTGCGAGCCTATCTTCAAGTCGGTTATCGTTCGCGCGTTTATGTTAAACATCTCGCTGCGCGTCTTGCCACGTATCCCTATATTAACTAATCTACTATTAGCCTCGCGTTGACTATTCCCTACGCCTTTAATGTTGAGCGGCTTTATCGGTCCTTCCGCTCCTAACTCGCGAGCTAAGTCGTCGTCGATTAGCGATATCGTAGAGCCTTCGTCAAGCAGCGCGTACGTGTTCACTTCCTTTCCACGTGGTCCGCGCACGGTTATCGGACACACTTTTAACAATACGGACGCACTACTGCTAACACTCGACGCGACGAGCACGGTTTCGTCCGGTTTAACCGACGCTGCAGGCGTACGGGCCTTACGGGTGTGAAGAAGAGCGTGGTGGGGGGCGTTACAACCGTCGACGCCGCACTTCCTGGCTTTGCAGCGTATACGTCGGTGCTTGCTGCTCAAGCACCTGAAACATACCCCCTCTTCCCTAACCCAATTCCACCGGTCATCCGAGCCCATTTGCTCTAACTTCTTACACTTGACGATAGGGTGTTCACCCCCGCAACACATACATGAGGCACTACCGGTGTCCTCCTGGGCGGTGAACGTCTTTACATCGCGGGCCCTATCTTCTACGCGGCGTGTTAACACTATTCTTTTCGACGGCGGCGTCTCTCGTCTTACGGGCGATTCCTTAGTCGACGCTACGGACGTATAGGCATGACTTAACGCACGGTCAGCCTCTCTCATCATGAACCGGGATAACGTAACGATGTCCGGTTCGTCCACACTTCCGTAGTGCTCCGCGTAATCGCACCAACGCGACCGTAAGTGAGGGCTAAGTTTGCTAGTAACCTCCCTAGTCAGCATTGGATTACGCAAATAACCCTTGCCGTCGACGTTTTGCATAATGCACACTATATTTTGTAACTTAATTGCGAACGAGTTTAATTCCTGGGCGGTTTGACCCGGGCGCGGAAGGCGTTTCAATTCTTCTAACGCACGATCTATAATTACTTCCGGGCGGCCGAAACACTGCTCCAGTGTCCGCATGATGTCTGCTGGATCCTTCGCGGTAAACAGCAGAGCCGAAACTACGTCTCTAGCCTCACCGCGTAAACAGTTCCTTAATCTTGCCATATTCTCCGTATTTGTGAATCCATATAAACGCGTGGATTCATTCATCGCGGCTTTAAATGCTAACCATTCCGCGGCCGAGCCGTTAAAAATAGGCAAGTCCTGCGTCTGTTTCGCGGCGGCTAGTCTAACTCTAACCATGTTTTCTAGAGCTTCCGCTAGCCGTTCTATACCCCTATCTTTCCCTCGCGGGGTGAGCGACCTATCTCTATCCCTATTTCCTTCTAGCCTACGCTGTGGCGCCGGCGACCTATGTACACCTACATCCCTATGACGCGGCGACGGTAATCTACGATCCGCAAGGCGACGTGGCGATTTATCTCTGCCTACATCATTACACGGCGACGGTGATCTACGATCCGCGTGGTGATGTGGCGATGGCGATCTATGTATACCTACATCCCTCTGACACGGCGACGGTAATCTACGATCCGTAAGGCGATGTGGCGATCTAAGTGTAGGCGATAGAGTGCGGCGTTGGACGCGCGACGGCGACGTAGCTCGTACACGACGATCCACCTGGTTCATTTCTACGGCGACTCCATTATCCCTCTGTATCCTATTTACGCGGCGCGGTTGAACGTCATTCGCGACCGACTTCCCCTGGGCATCTTCAGCGTGGTCGTAACCGGTTCCGCTCCTCGGTGGGGCCTGCTCTATCTCGATGCGGGGCGCGGGCTGAGGCGGGCGGTAGGGCGGCTCCCCCCGCACAGTCTCTACGTTTTCTAACCACCTATCAACGCGTACCCTATTTTCGACTAATTCGTCCTCGTTTAGGCTTTCCCTATCGGTTTCTTCTTGCAGTTGCGCGATATCCCTAGCATATTTCTTCTTGACGAGATCTTCCTCTATTTGCAATTGCTTCCTCCTAATTGCAGCTAGTTCCTCCGCGGCATTATATTCGATTTGCTTTAATCTTGCTACTGCGCTAGCTGTCGACCGGGCTGAACGTACTGAACGGACCGACGGGGCGCGGGACGCGGGCCTATGTACAACGTCTGCTACAGGCGCGACGGTACGCACTATCGAACTAGTTTCCGTAGTCGGAAGATCTTCTATTATCGCGGCGAGCGTTTCTGTGCGCGGCGCGGATGTGCTAACTTCTCCCAAGCGATCGGTTGTAGACACGGACATAGCGGGGCGCGGCGGCGCGGGCGCGGTCGCGGGCATAGATACGGGCGCGAGCGGGGGCTGCGGCGCGGCGGAGGGCGCTTGTGCCAACGCGAGATAACCGGACGGGGACGCGGGTGCTTCCTCGAATATCCGCATTCCTACTGGCGTTTCGTCGTCGTTCCGTGTCTTCTGGCTTCTTGTCTTCCTCATGATGGTGTCCCTCGTTGCGGCCTCCGATCGTCTTCAAAAAGACGCACGTATTGGACGCCGTTCCCGCCTCAAGGGCGTTACCAGATGGTCACAGTTTGGCACCGTTAGGGAGCAACCACCCGGCCGCGTAAACGCGGTTAAGAAACAGGAATTGTCTGGAAACAGACAATATATATATGACGTCGTTGTAAATAAGAAACGAGGAAGGAGTTAGCACCGACGATCTTCTCTCTTCGTCGACGTACTTCTTTCTTCCTCGAAGATCTTCTGTAATAATCTTCTTTCTTCTGTAATTATGTTCTCTCTTCTATAATTATGTCCTCTCTTCTATAATTGTTCTTTCTTCAATAATTATGTTCTTTCTTCTTTCTTCTGGCTTGAATCCGGCGACGATGGACCAAGAACTTGTTATGGATCGCAGTGGACTGTATTATTGATGGGGTGTAGGGGGTGTGTACGCTAGGGGGCAACTGCTCAAAGAAAAGATGGTACTGTCGAACTATACTGTATTCTAAACTATTTACAAAATGTGGCACTATTAACTACACTATTGTACAGAGGGGAGTCTTCTTGATGGAGTCTTCTTGAGTCTTGATTTCTTGATTTTCTTGCTGTCTTTTTCTCGTTGAGTGCCGCTTCCGAAATGAACGACGACCGTCCGGGACGCCCTTCTTATATTTCGCCGGAGAGCGTCTCAGGTCGTGCGTAGCGTCGTCCGCGATGCCGCGCGCTCATTGGTCGGCGACATCGCGTGATCTGCTGCCGGTGTGCGGGGTGCGCGGGGCGCACCGGGGTGTGAAGGGGCGGCGGCCTCCTCGCTGTCCGCTACAGTATGGGTATTTTTTCTGTACACAGTATGACCAATAGTGTTATCAGGATTTCGGATGACTAAAACATCTAGGAAAGCTAAAGTATTGTTTGCCTCTAACTCCATTGTGAATTGTATATTAAGGTTTATGGAATCAAGGTGGTTTAAAAATGCAATTACTTAGTCAGATGGTAAAATTGTGAAAGTATCGTCTACGTACCGCTTGTAGAATCTTGGATTTACAGGAGCAGTAAGAAGGGCTTTCTCCTCAAAGTCCTCCATGAATATGTCTGCGACTACGGGACATACAGGTGAGCCCATCGCCCCTCCATCTACACGGCAAATTAGCTACGGAAGGTATTTTATAGAACTACATAGAAACCAGTAGTGTCGCGACGACACGTCGCCTGCTGCTGCTGTCTGCGGTCGGCTACGGAATTGTACCTTAAAAACATTCGTGTCGTCAAATTTACACACAAAAATAATATGTTTTCAGTCTTATTATAAACTTAAGTTATCTCTGAATATTATTATGTACGAAAACAAGAAACAAAATTCACGAAATAAAAATAAATGGGACTTACTTTTTTCTGGCCGACATTACTGCGAAATTTATGACATCCAACAAATGAAATCACAATTACCATCAAACTTGAAACACCACTGATGACTAATTGTTTCTTATCGAAAGCTAGTATACCTCGTTACAAGTTAACAATAACAAAGAATCACTGGGCTCGAAGTTTATGATATATGTATGATCCGTAAAGTGGTTAGTTGACTGACGCTGCCATATGGCTACATTAGGCTCTAATGGGTTTTTTTCTTTTAAAACTGCTGCTATTTATTATGCAGCATCTTTTATTCTTTGTGTTTTAGTTTTTCTCTGTATACATTTTTTGTTTCATTTCATTTGGTTTTTCTTCGCTTTTAAGTTCTCTTGCCAATTCTCGTCATTTACGTATTTTTTCTTTATTTTTCTCTCTACCAATTAATCAATTAATTTCATGCACCCGCCATTCCATTCGTTGACTCTTTTAACTATGTTTTTAGCGTATCTTACAAAAAGATCTTTTTTGTGATCATCATTTACAAATACTTTATAATTATAACTTTTTATTTTTGTTCCTAATTTTTGTTCCATCTCCCATCTCAATGACTCAAAGATTTGACATTCGTCTAATAAGTGGGTAATAGTTTGGCAACTCGTTCCATCATACCTGCATACTGCTGTATCTTTCAATTTAAATCTGTGAAGATATTCGCCGAAGCTACCATGCCCTGTAAATATTTGTGTCAATAAGTTTGATGTTTTTAGTTTCATCAGAATTTTATGGCTTCGGCGAACGTCATCGAAGAATAACTTTGTTATTGATCCTGCCTCTTCCTTTGTGTATCGCTGTTGCCATTCTGTAATTGTTATGTTTCTGAGGGTCCACTTGACAAAGGATATCGGGACCATATCATACACAGGGGCAGTTTTCTTATGTAAGGCTGCCTTTTTGGCCAATTTGTCAGCTCGCTCATTGCCGTGTAGTCCAGAATGGGCCTTTATTCAAAACAGTTGTATTTGGCCCCCATTTTCGTGTACCTCAGATATTTTTTTATTTATTTCTACTACAATCGGATGAGTATTATGCGGCTTACAGAGAGATTCTAAAGCAGTCCTCGAGTCACTGAGTATTTGCGTTCTTTTAAACTGTTTTTTTACGTATTGTAAGATCAACAGCTCGAAGTATTGCTGCCAATTCAGCGTGGAACACAGAGCAGTGGTTGTCCAGCTTAAACTTTGAATTAAATTTTTCCCTACCGTTCTCATAACACACAACCGCAGCACCCACCTTACCTTCTATCTTACTACCATCCGTAAACAATTGTGGTATATCCCTTCCAAGTTCTTTTAGGTCCTCTTCTTTATAAACGTCCTTAAATGACAGAGGCTTTCTTTTTGGAGGTGAAGGTAAATTAAACATACTGACTTTGCTTTCGATTGGCCTATCTAGGTGAATATCCAGGGGCATTCCTCTTTTGATTTTGTGCAATTCAGCCGTTTCCCTTACCCTTAAATCTAAAGGGAGAATCTTACCCAAAAGCGTACTTGCTACACAGGAAGTAGTTTTATGCGCCTTTGCGATTCGTATTGCCAACATTCTCGTTATGCGGTCGAATTTCGATTTTATTTTATTTATTTATGCTTTATTTGCACACCAAGTACAAAAAGACGGACTTAATGCAACAGGGCATTCTCTACCAGTCTACCTCCAGGCTAAGCAGAGAAAATATTGTGGGTGCAAAGTGCAAACAGCTAAGTAAATAACATCTATGTCTACATAATACATACAGTATATATACATATATATATATATATATATATATATATATATATATATATATATACATAAATATATATAAATACATACATACAAATATTTACTTACTACTACTTATTATACATATATATACATAACTAAATATGGCAGTTTCTGATTCAAACTCCAATAACAAATGTAAAAATGAAATGGAAAACCACAAACTACTCCTGCAACGTTAGATAGTAATTCCAGAGCAAGCGTTTGAACGATGCCTTGCTCGTGGCTGCGCGTACACTGCCCGGTAACTCGTTCCATAATCTTACCGCATGAGAAGTAAAAGATTTGTGTAAAAAGCTAGTGTGACAGAGGGGAACATGGAGGTTAGATTTTTCCGTAGAACGGAGACAACGATTATGGGTATCACCTTGATACTGAAATTTGCATTTCAGATATTCAGGGACAAACGGATCGTGTAAAACTGAAAATAACGTGCACAGTATTCTGAAATGTCTGCGATAGCGGAGAGGTAGCCATTTTAGCTGAGAAATATAAGAGGAAATGTGGTCGTATTTACGTAAACCGAAAATGAAGCGTATGCAATTATTGTGAAGTTGATCCAGTTTGTTTAGAAGTTCTTGCGAGGCATCAGCATAGCAAACATCTGCATAATCTAGAATAGGCAACACTAAAGTCTGTATTAGCATTGCCTTAGTCCCTAACGGTAAAAAATTCTTGAGACGATACAGATGACGCAGAGTGTTAGTGACCTTTTTGCTCACTTCATATATATGCGGTCGCCAGCTGAGGGTGTTGTCTATAATTAAGCCAAGGTTTTTAACTGTTGTTGAGTAAGGAACAATAACATTATTAAATATAATAGGAGGTAACGCCTTCATATCAATTTTAGTCAGTCTACGAGAACTACCAACTACAATAGCCTGACATTTTGATGGATTAACCCTAATGCCAAATCTTTTTGACCAATTAGAAATACAATTGAGATCACAGTTGAGCTTCTCAATCACATCATCGATACATGCCACCTCAGCTTGAGCATAAATTTGTAAGTCATCAGCATACAGATGGTACGAACAGCGAATGTGGGGTGTAATGAGATTTATAAAGACTGAGAACAAGAGAGGAGAGAGAATTCCGCCTTGAGGAACGCCAGCAGACAACGAGCACCAATCAGAGATAATCTGACCTACTCGAATTGCCTGCTGACGACCCCGAAGATATGATGAGAACCAGTCCCGCGCTGACGAAGAGAAACCTAGGTGATAAAGTATAGCTAGAAGAATGTCATGATCGACAGCATTAAAAGCGTTAGAGAAATATATTAGGATTAACACTGTCAATTTTGAGTTCTCCATTCCAGTACGCAAATCTTCCGTAACTTTCAAAAGAGCTGTGGTAGTACTGTGCCCCGGCCTAAAACCAGATTAGATTGATATGTGCTGAGAAAGTTATTTTTGAAAATGTAACTAGAAATTTGTTTGTGGACAATAGCTTCAAGAACTTTAGATAAAAACGGGAGAATCGATATTGGGCGAAAGTGAGAAAAAGTACTGGGGTTATTTATTTTGGGCAGCGGAATGACAAATGCTTTTCTCCAAAGTGAAGGAAAATCCCCAGTCAATAGTGAATGGTTAATGATGTGAGTAATAATAGGAGTAACATAGTCTAGAATTAAGGTGATCATAAGTCTGTTCACATCATCGAAGCCAACTGCCATAGACTTAATACAATAAATGGTCTTTTTTATATCCTCATCAGCAACGGGAGAAAAGTTAAATGTGCAGTTATGAGATTGTGGCATGGAATGCAAATAAGAAATGGTACTTGATTTAACAGAGGCCTGCATTTGGGTAGTTGAAGAAAAATGTAAATTGAGATCACTTATAGAAATGATTGCAGGGTCCACGTTACACGTGGGCTTACCGACCCCGATCGTCCGTAGAAATTTCCATGTATTAGCCATAGAAGAGTTTATGATATTATCGTGAATGTAGCGGCGTTTAGCGGCTCGTACCATCTGATTACATCGATTTCTCGCAACTTTGAATTTTGTCCAATTAAGTTCACTACGGTTCTGCTTGAATTTTCTAAACATCTGATCGCGCTTAGACTTACGAATATTTTCAGTAATCCATGGCGCAGGCGAGCGTTTTAACCTAACGTCACGAATAGGTGCGTGTTTATCAAACAGCTTATGAATATGAGAAATAAATGTCGTAATCTTGTCATCAATACTCTCTGCGTTAAATGTATCGCTCCAGTCTAAAAGCGAAGCATCATGTTTGAGCCCTTCGACATCTATCCTAGCAAAATTACGCAGACGTACTATAACTGGCTTTACTTTAGGTGGTTTAATTTTATAGGAAATAAACAGCAAGTCATGTCGCGAGAAACCTGGAGCGGGTAGCTGTCCGTGGCAGGCAACGCGTTCTTCTGAGGAGACAAATATCAAATCTAACAATGTATCATCAGCAGCAAGATTGTGATGGGTGGTATCAAGTGGAAGTATTGAAAAATTTGCCGACTCAATAATTGAACGCAAACTACGCGATCTAGGAGTATCACTAAGAAGATTCGTATTAAAGTCACCCATCAAAATATGATGTTGATAATCAGAGCAAATTGAAAAAAGTGCCTCTTCAAATTCACATAAATAACTAGAATTCGGTGGACAATAAATTGCACCAAGCACAATTTTATTTCCACTAACAACAATCTCTAAAAAAATATATTCAACTGATCCAGTATATTGTGAAGGTGAGGCTGATAAAATTTTGTAAGGTATACCACTTCGCAGGTATACTGCCACACCACCTCCTCTTTTATTAATGCGATCGTTACGAAGTAAAACAAAACCTGGTATTCCGTAAGAAGTAGAAGGCAGAGTTGGATTTAACCAGGTTTCTGAGATAAGTATCGCGTGGATGCTCTGAATGTTAAAAGTTTCTAAAAGTTCAGTATAATGCTGCGGAATACTCTGGGCGTTGATGTGACAAACGTTGAAATTTTTATTATAATCATTGAGTTTTTGGGTTAGAAGAGAACGAACTATAGGTAATTCCAAGTCAGAATCAGAAAATGAATAAAAGGAATCAGAATTAGCAGAGGTGAATGAATCGTTATCGGAAACTCCCATGGTGCTAAAAATCAGTGTATAATATTACATAAAAATAAATTAAGGTATAAATAACTAATTTAAATAAATATATAACTTATTTGGCTATAAATAAATATATAACTTATTTGGCTATAAATAGATATATAACTTATTTAAGTAAATAAAAATAAATATCTTTAATATATTATGTTTATGCTGTATTGTTATTTTAATTACTGCTACCAAACCTGCTGGTAAACTGTTTACAAAACGAGATTTTAAAAAAAAAAGAGAAAGAAAAATTCAAAAATAAAATAAATGAGATAGATAATAAATCACTTTCGTAATAAAACTATCAGAGAGCATTAAAAATAAAATGCATCAATAGTTGTTCTTATGCACCTGAGTTATAAGACAAAAAAAAATATATGACATTGAAACACCACTAATAAAATATTCCATAATGTTAGTTCGTAACCCTAGATATACATACATAATATGGTTGACAATTACTGTTTATCAACTCAGCGGCTAGCGAATGAGAACAATGGGGATTGCATTCACTGTACAGAAAAGAAGGGACCTACGCTAACGCTATTAGGTTGAACAACCAGTAACCGCACGACCGTCCATGTATAATCATCACACAAATTATCATAACAATTATGTAATATTAATGTTTTTTAACCGTACGCCTAGTTCGTGGTACTTCGCCGCGCGTGTTTCCAGGCTCCCTCGAAGCCCTTGTTTCTTCCAATACCGGTTGAGATTCCTCGTCACACCCTGGCTTGCTATGTTGACGTATCAGCCGGTTGAGGTCTTCATTGGATTGAATACTCTGGCGGGAACCATCGGGCAACCTGACGCTGATGAAGCCATTTGATGACCAGACCTTTTTCATCCCAAATTGTCTTCGAGCTTGCATGAACAAATTCTGCTTGTATTTTGTGAGAAACTCGGATAATGTAAACGGTGTTCCCTTCAACATAGTATTTTTGTACCAGGCGGTAGAACGCATCGAGAAATCGGTAAAACGGAAAAGTATCGGTCGGTTGTGATCCGCCTTAACCATACCGAGTCTATGAGCCATCCGGATAGAAGATGATGAGACATTTGTCATACTCAAGTGTTTCTGAAGGACGCTTACAACAATATTGGGCACATCTTCATCTGCTTTTTCTGGAACACCACTTAACAAAAGATATTTTCTGCGGTGTCTCGTTTCAATGGTGTCAACTGACCGACTTAACTCTGCTATTTGTTGGCGAAGCAGGTTGAACATGTCTTGAACAAAGTCTCGAAATGAAGTAAAATCCTGACCAACCTTCAACTGTTGCTGCTGAGCAACAGTTTTGGTAGAACTGGAACCGAGTTGCTTCTCAAACTCTTCCATCCGACGAGTGATTAACGCTTCCAGGGACCTCTGAGATTCGGCAATGTCAGCAATTGTGGCCATAGTGTTGTTAAAAGTTCACAAAGTGATTGTAGAAAAGTTGTGCTCCAGCAGTTTGGTGCAATGAAAAAAAAACTATTGCATAAACAACTTGTACTTTTACTTTAAAATAATTTATGTGTTTTAATAAGTGATAAGGACCCTAAATTAGATGTAAGTAAATAGTTTTTTTAAATTAAATAGCAATTAAAATGGGACGAACACGTATGCACTTATTTATCACCCACCCGCAACGTCTTGTTAACGCAAAGTTATTGACAAAAAATATAT